TCTCTCGGGGTGTGGGCTTGATAGCTTTTCTCGGCTTACCTAAGGACAGATAGTGCAGGTTGCCCTGGTGTATCTTTGCGCGAAATTCAAAACAAACCCAAACTCTAATTGTAGCATGCGAGTTTCAAATGTTACAAATCGTTAAAACAAAACATTATATATACAATATCCATTTGAAAAATATTTTATCGCTTTTTTTTTTCACAGGCTTTCAAAAATGGTACTTAAAGGTACCTGGAAAACATCATTGTGGAATATTTCGTCTGTGCGGTAAGATCACAGGATCACAGTAAGTGGAACATTTTTGTTGAATGTTTCAGAGGTTACTTAACAGCGCCTAATATGACGTTTTTATGCTGGATGCAGAGTGTTACATTAGTAACTCGTATATAGATTGAAAGATAGTTAATACGGGTTCATTATAGCATATAACAGCACAGCACCATTAAAGTTGTTTCTTGCATTGCTACAACTCAACCCGTAACGCGCAAACAACGATCATATTAATACAAGTTTGGGGAAAACCTAATAAAGAATAAGTTGTGAAACAGTTGGATGAATTATTTAGATGTTCTATTTTTGTTTACCCTAAGTAAGCCGAGAAAGGATAAGTTGTGAAACAGTTGGATGAATTATTTAGATGTTCTATTTTTGTTTACCCTGTTGTGTATGCATGTTTCGGGTATGGTGTGATATTAGTATTTTCAAACGGCCAGATCAAAAACCGTACATTTCAGATATATACGGCTACTCTTAACCGAATAGTGATGTTGACTGTCACTTTTATAACGCAATAAAGCTCAAGGTGTAGAGCATGGTTAACCACAGATCGTTGGTTCGATTCTGAGATCTTCCGATCTGACACCTATCCTTCAAATTTATGAGACATACAGATACCATATTGTTAGGATAAATACCAGGATGATTATGAAAAGTAACATCAACAAAAACAAACAATATAATAAGTTTTAAAAAAAGTATATCCAGGAAACCGAAGTCTAGCGCGTATGCTATAAAATATGACAGTATATATGATAAATTTTCGAAAGGAGAGAAATCAACCATCAACCAACTCTCAAGAGATACTTGTAAAGATAATGCTGTAAAAATGTAAGTTTACTATCAAGAGATACCTGTAAAAGTCATGCTGTATAGATGTAAGTTTACTATCAAGAGATACCTGTAGAAGTCATGCTGTATAGATGTAAGTTTACTATCAAGAGATACTTGTAAAGATTATGCTTTAAAAATGTAAGTTTACTATCATGAGATACCTGTAAAAGTCATGCTGTATAGATGTAAGTTTACTATCAAGAGATACTTGTAAAGATCATGCTGTAAAGATGTACGTTTACTATCAAGATATACCTGTAAAGATTATGCTGGAAAGATGTAAGTTTACTATCATGAAACAGAAACTTTCACTACTATCCAACGCTAATTAGGCTGTCAGCTAATTTATACTTTTGTAATCATGAATTAGCAAGCATTTTCCTTCGATTAATAAAAGGTTACTCTCGCAATTATCACGCAGCAATTAACAAGAGATGGAATGTAAGGTGTTTTCTGTTAAGTCTACTTAGAGTATGTTTGAATTTCTATAGAAATTATAACGTAACCATCATGAGAATGTTGAACGTTTAAATTTCTTTTTTTTTTAAATCTCTGCTGGCGGTCTTGGTAGGTGATGTTTAAAGACAGTCTACCCTAAGGACACTTTCATTGTTTTGTAGTCGAGAAAAGAGGGTGAAGATACTGCACGTGATCTCCGGCATAGACAGGGACAGTGAGGCACAATTTGGTTGCTACGATATAGGACAGATAAGCGGTACGCTAAACCCCCACCATCTGTCCCTGCCGGCAGAAATCCCGCCGGCGGTCGGGTCTGATTGAAAGATAGTCGACCAGGACCGAACCTCGCGCCTATAGCGCACTCTGTAGGACGAATATGGTACACTTTAAGAGCGAACAATTATCTAAAGGCGTATACCATTATGTGAACCCGAATGTCACAAAAGCCTCGACAGTGGGGATCTCTATTCATGGACAACTCACCTCCGTTGAAACGGAGGGTCGCGCACCGCATGCTGTCAGGAACTATTCGAGGCTATGGAACACAATGACGGCGGCTCAAGAGAAAGAAATATGGCCACGGATACGGCATGGATCTGTTGTTCCGTCAGTTTCTACGTGCCGTGTTCCTCTCTCGCTTTCCTTCTCAACTCCCCCCATCTCCCCCTTCCTTACTAGACGCTTTTGCAAAAACTGTTTGCTTATGAACGAACGGATTTGGAATATGTAGCCAACACTTATAATATCTATCACTATTCCCCTCCTAAGTCTATTCGGATCTCATAATAAAAGGTTATTCTTTTGAGACTGAACTTTTACTCCTGTGGGGAAAATTGGCTTTCCTTGTAGAAGATGAAAAGCAGAGAGAAAGCGTCCCGTCCAGTGTGAGCGATGTTTATGAACTTACATAGTCCACTCGAGGACTTGTGAAAAGATAAAATGGCCCTATCATTCTCAAAATATATTTGGAAACGATAAACACTCAACATTGGAGGGTTATATACACCTGCTAAGACTAATTCACTTACAGAGAGAGAGAGAGGGGAGGGGAGACGTACAAGTATTAATAGCCACAAGAAATATGAAAACAGAGTGAGCCATGCTAAACGAATACTCATACTTATGGTTGGACCATTTTGCCTACAGTATTGTGACCACCGATAAAAGCGTGTGTCGAAATATCATAAAATGACCCAGTACAATATACATATTTATATCTTTTTTAGGACTTCCTGTTGTGATATTTCACTTTAATTAGCAGAATAATTAACAAAAATGTTGAAACTCCATAATTACAGAATTGAGGAAAACAGGATAATTATTACACGTTTCATTTATTACTACCACGATTTCGCTATTAAAAGCACCAAGTGTTAATAAATATATAACTTCTCTTAAAAAATAATAAGAGTTTGTTCGTTTTTTTAATTTCGCGCAACGCTACACAAGGGCTATCTACGCTAGCCGTCCCTAATTACGCAGTGTAAGACTAGAGGGAAGGCAGCTAGTCATACCACCCACCGTCAACTCTTGGGCTACTCTTTTACCAACGAACAATGGGATTGACCGTTACATTATAACGACCTCACGGCTGAAAGGGCATGTTTGGTGGGACGGGGATCCGAACCAAATGATAAGAAGAACAGTCTCTATAATCGTGAGGCTTCTTGGGGGTGTGTGGTTTAATCTCTCATTCTCACTTTGTGGGGAGCTTCTGATCCAAACCCTCGATAGGGGTGATATCCTCAAGCCCTCTATGATTAATGCAAAGTATTCTTGTAATAGCGATTCGTTGTTCTACTTGACATGCAATGAAGATTCTTTTGTTTGAAAATAAATAATGTATCACATTAAAAAAGGCTTAGTTAGATTGATAGTAACAACAGTTGTTAAAATGTTTAAGTATCGTAATTTGAACAATATTTGTTCATATTGGAAAACAAAAATTCCTTACCAAGACATGTTACCAAAACGAGCTTTAAGATAAATTATGTAATTATCTTATAATTGATTAGGTGTTATTATATTTGATGCGACAGAATATAACCTCAGCTGTATGGACCAGTGAGAAATACTACAGGTAACTGGCATATTACTTTATATAATACGATATAGTTAAGATACTTCCATGCTATCACTAGACGATGATCACACGTAACTATTACATAAAGTAATATCCCAGTTATCTGTAATATCTTTTAACTTACAGGTGATCCTCGCATGATCACACGTAAGTATCTTAACTACTGTATTACATAAAGTAATATCTCAGTTATCTGTAATATCTATTAACACACAGGTCATCGTCTAGTGATAACACGTATCTTAATTACTGTATTACATAAAGCAATATTCCAGTTATCTGTAATATCTATTAACATACAGGTCATTAACTATGTTAATCAAATAAGGTGAATTATTTGGACAGATGTATTAAATACAGAAAGGGATGAAACACGACTCAACAGACCAAATCACATGCTTCCTGTTATTTTCTGTATGCAGTTTGCACTTTAAATATCTATAACGACACGTTTTCCTGTTTACATCTGAAATTAGCGGTTTTTGGACTACACGTCAGCGGTCACATGACAGGTTTTGTAATGTTCTTTGCATGGTACAGCTTAAGGCAGTTTCACCCTGACTATTGATTAAAGAATTTGTCAACAGGGAATAATCTGGTGTCTGCTACTCTGTAAAAGATTTTCTACTCGTCTTTATCCTCACCCAATCATTTAGTAGCAGACATATTCCACCCTGTTGTCAATGTTAATAGATTTGAAGCCAGGTATCTTTGAACAGTCGGTCAAGAAAACGGCCTTTAATAACGACTCTCCTGCTAAAAGGTACCTTTGATAGAAATCCTTGTTTTTAACCATTATCTTGCAGGATGACCATGACATCTGTTTGATATCTTTATTTATAAGGCTTAAATAATCACCAGACACAATAAGCCAATTTTTGATATGTAAGTAAATGTGTATGTGGAGAGTCCAAAAATCAGTGTAAAACTGCACACTCAGCATAAGTGTATGAACTATAATGTACAATTTGGTAGTTATCTGGTACCGTCTTTCATCCCATACAGAAGTAATAAATAAATGTTACTGAATGGAATAGTTATGTATATTTACCATTTGCTTGGTGTTCTTTAAATCTGACTTGCTTATATAGATCTTCAGGCCTAATTAGTAAAGCATTCCAATTGATAAAGATAAGCCAATAGGCAAAAGTGACGTGTCTTCTGTGAAAGAGAGACTACAAAGGTGTATAAAAGTAAATAAAATGCTCAAAAACAATAAAAACTATTTGTTGTAGCTTCAGAGAATTCTTAAGCAGATTGAAAATTGTAGAAATTTAACAGGAAACTAGAAACACTACTGTAAAAAAGCCCTAAGTCCGTGAGCCAATAGAGAAAGGCTTAGAGAATGAATATACAAGTAAATCAAGTTGTGGAGTTCGTGATCTTGCCTCCTTGTGCTTATAAAGTTGGTATTGATGCACCTGGAAAGGGCTTAATTATAGGCGTAAACTATGTTACAATGTGTGCAATTCTGGAGAGTGAAACAATGAACTGGAAAACTGCTAAAGTTTTAAGGTTACCAAGTATGAATAACACGTTATTTATGACATAATAATTAGTTTCTAAACATATGAGGTTAAAGATTTCTATGCAAAATCCTACTTGTTGAAATTGTTACAAATTATGACGCCTTACTAATACATTGCTACAAACATAGATAAAACACAAAATGTGAGATAGCTGGATCATTTACTGGAGATAATCCACTGAATGTTAATCAGTTTAATATTGTAAAACATGTATATGACTCAGGAGGGGCGTAACGAAAGGGAGTGCCTTTCCTCCCTAATATTCCATTTGTCAGGAAAAATTAACTTTTCGGTGAATTCTGTGGGCAAAATTTTTATCCTTCTTTTTTTTAGGGGGAGGAGGTAAATCTCGAGAGAAAAATAAGTAATTTGTTATTACGACGAATTTTAAGACAAATGACGAAAATACCGAGAAAAATTTGGTAAAGGGTGATAAAAGTCCTAACTGGATCATTTGAGTGTTCTATGCAAATAAAGCAAATAAAGATAAACGATAAGGTTTGGACCACGTCCCACATCCCAGTATTTTGTCGGCAAAATTCTATCATGCACCCCTTCCCTCCCAAATATAGGATCTTCTCTTCCCCCATGTATGATTGGTGTGAAAGATCATATAAAATGATTTAGTGAGTTCACGTCTAGTACGATGTTTTAGTTACTTTAGAAAGAGAGAGAGAGAGAGAGAAATTACCGACGAACCATTTCCATCTGTTTAATCTCAGCTACTTGTCCTCAAAGTAGCTACTGTCACTGATGACAAATGTATTTAAAGCTGTTCGTTCCCCGAGGTAAGCGCTAAGGGTACTGATAGAATTTGTTGACGCCCCAGTTAATTGTATTTGTCAATATTGTGCTGACTGGCCTTCCATCATTAGCTCGTCTTTAGGGTGATATATACTTAACGAAGGTTATGTGTTATTCAAAGTGTGTGTGAATCCGTGAATGTGCGGCGTTGTGGACCATTAAACAGGCGTTAACAAAACATTCACACCTCGTGCTTTAATCGTGCAGTTGTATTACATATATCAATTAAAAACCGATTTTCGGAATAATTAATTGCTTTAATTTTATGGACACAGAAGAGCTGATGTTTAATTAGTTTGCTCTTGTGTTTGGATATTTTTTTCTTATAAAACATTAAATGGCTTTTGTCGTATCTGTTGGATGTCTTCCTTTCTTTTTCAATGAGAAAACTGTCCACAAAGGTGATATTTTGCTTATTATAAACCTATTAAGTTACGATTGTGGTTAAAACCTCTTAACTATATATTTTTGTTTTTATGAGAAGATAGTCTGAAGTAGCTGAAAGGATGTGTTTTCTATCCAAAAATGGAATAGTTTCACAAGGTAAAACTTTTTAATTGTAAATAACAGGATCATAACTACTTACTAAAAAACAAACAAACTTTAATCCTCATGCAGAAGATGAAATTTTATTTGCTATTGCAAATGATTTTCCCACCTAAAGGAACTTCCCAGTGGGGTGAGGGGTTTAATTCAACTTAATGTATCAGTGGATTATTTACAAAAATAAGTAGTTAATGGGCAACATCGGGATTTACTATTTATTGCCTTCCAAAATGTCTAAAAATGCGTTGAGTGATATGTATATAGTGTTGAGTGATATATACAACATATGTATAGCGTTGAGTGATATATATATATATATAGTGTTGAGTGATATATACAACATATATATAGCGTTGAGTGATATATATATATATATAGTGTTGAGTGATATATACAACATATATATAGCGTTGAGTGATATATATATATAT